TTTCATTTTTTCACGTTTTTAAATTTAAAAATCTCGAAATCGAAATGAGGGGGAAAAAAAAAAACTAATAATAATAATAGAAATGAAGATTTGGTAGTAGCTTTTTAATTTTTGAAATTTTTAATATATAAACAATAAAAAAAAAAAAAATTAATTAACTTTGTGTGTGCGTGCGTGCGTGCGTGCGCGAGTAAATATTAAAAAAAAAAACGTAATATCTTTTTGCTGTAGGTAATAAATTTTCCACGATTACGTTTTAGAAAAAAAAAAATAATAATAATAATACAAATTTTTTTATAAAAATATGTCAACGCCCTTAAAAAAAAAAAAAAATATTCAACGCTTGTATTAATGTAGAAAAAAGTAAAAAAACGAACTTCGAATCCTTCAACGAGGAAAAAATTTTATTTTATGTTTTATCGTAAAAGTTTTTTTTTTGTCTTATGTAAACCTCATTAGTGTTTCCCCCTCCCCATCCCCCCCCTCCCCACAAAATCCAAAAACAATCGTTTGTTCTACCTTTTTTTTTTTGACGACAAATCACACAAAAAAAAAGTTTGACACTTGTTAACAAACACAAAAAAAAAAAAAATTTCATTCGTAATAACAACGAAAAAAAAAAAAAAATTACGATCGCTTTTATAGTTTTTAACCGAAAATTTATTTATTTATTTAATAATAATAATAATAATAATGATTTAAAAAGAAAAAATTGATGAGCGTTAAAAGGCTTGAAAAAGTGTAAAGAAAATTCGTTACAAGGTTAATCTGTAATCAAAACTAACCTTCAACCGTCATAAGTAAAAATTATCCTTTAGATTTTCTCCCTTTTTTTTTTTTTTTAATGCGAACGAAAGAAAATTTAATTTTAGAAAATATGATACATAAACATGCCAGAAATTTTCCAACAACCTGGTTTTTCACACCAAATAAATTATTTATCGTTATTTAATTCTTAAATTTTCATACGGATTCATTTTGTTCAATATTGTTCTGATTTTTTTAAATATCGTAAATAACCGTTTGAAATTAAAAATAATAATAATAATTACCTTGTTTGTGTTTGTGATGATTTCCGTTTCTTACAGCTGAACAAATTTTACGATGAGAAAATGACAAACCGCAGCTGAAATAAAAAAAAAAAAAAAAAAAAATTAATAACAAAGTTTGAAATAGAACCAAAAAAAAAATTATTATTATTATTATCGTGTTCGTACAAATTAATTAATTTTTTTTTTTAAATTCGAATAATAATAATAATAATAATAATAATAATGAGGAAATGGATTTTATAAATTGTTTAAATTAATTAAATTTGCTAAACGTCATTAACTAAATGACGTGGAGTTAGATTTAAAAAAAAAAAAAAAAATTTCGTCAAATTATGGAAAATTTTTTTTATAAATGTCTAAAACATTTTCTTCTTTTTTTTTTTATTATTATTATTTTTACGACTACTTAGATTTAACGTCAATTAAATATCATCATTATTATTATTATTATCATCATTTTGTCCTTTCTCTCGTTCGTTTCATTCGTTTACCCCTTAAATTACTAGTAGTTGTCACATGATTGAAAATTATTAATAAATTTTTGTTATTATTATTATTATTTAACTCGGAAAATCTTATAAATTTTTCCGTTTGTTGTTACCACGAAATAAAAAAATAAAAAAAAACAATCGTTATAATTAATTTTAAAAGCTTTTTACAAAAAAAAAAAAAAATGGTTTAATTAAATAATAAATTGTTAAAAATATAACGATTGCATGTACAGAAGAAAATTCTTTTTTTTTTTGTCTAGAAAAAGAATTTTCCTCTTTTTTAATAAGAAATTTTTATTTGTTGGGTAGATACAAACTTTCCTGTCTTATTGAGAATGCGCAATATCGTTCGATACAAAAAAAAAAAAAAAAAAAAAGATATAATTCATTAATCTTTCTATGAAAGTGGCAAAAGAAAAAAAAGATTTTTGTGAAAAACGTGTATTAAACGTTGAAAATTTCTATTGTTCGTAGAAAAAAAAAAAAAAATTTCCTCTTTTTTTATCAATAAAAATAAATTTTCAACATAAAAAATATTTTTAAAATATAAAAAAAAGATAATTTTTCCTTTGAGATTATTATTATTATTTTTTTTCTACTCAAACGTTAAAAATATTTTTTTCTTTTACCTGATTTTAATTAAGAACATCTCTCAATGTTAAAAATACAAAACAAAAAAAAAAAAAAAAGATTATGATAATAATGATAATTAAAAAACGTTTTTATAATGATTCCATAATGTTCTTTCCTCAATTATTTTCCATTCTTTCCTACACTTTTTCATATCGGTGGAAAAGTATTTTTCTTTCTTCTTCTTTTTTTTGATTTTTATTTTTAATATAAATGAGAAAAGAAAAGAAAAACAATAATCTATAATAATAATAATTATTATTATTATTTTTAAATGTCTTAGACTCAGACTTATGTGCAACGAATCCAAAATTTAAAATAAAAAAAAAATTATTAGTTATCATTAAAATTATTTTTTATTTGGGGGGAGCAGAGGGGAGTAGCGGGGGGGGGTGAAGGAGGTGGATGGGGGGATAGAGAGACCATAGAAAAACCCCCAACGGATTTGAGGTTTCGCATTTATTATATGATTTTATTTTACGATTTACATTGACGTTAATTAATGTTCTCTGCCATTTGTAATTAAACGACATTACTTAATATTCCACGTAGATTAATAAAAATTAATTTTCAAGCCTAAATTTGATATTTATTTATTTATTATTATTATTATAATTAATTATATTCGTCGTTGTTATACTATGATCATGATGATGTTTTTTTTTCCAAATCGAAAATTGTTATTATATCAATAATTAGCCAAAAAATAAATAAATAAATAAATACAATTAAAACGATTATTACTAAAAAAAAATTAATAATAATAATAATAAATTTAAATTTAAAATAAATAGTTATTAAAAAAAAAATAAAAAAATTGTTAAAAATTATTAATTGAAAATTATTTATAATATAACAACTCATCCCAGAAAAAAATTTTTTTTAAAATAAATTCTTTTTAATGGGGGGATGGGGAGAGGGAGAAAAAGCTCTTTTATTAAAAATTATTGATTTTTGTCTTTAAAAAAAAAAAAAATTGTTAATTCTCTTACATTTTCTATTCATTTTTTTTTTATACAAAAAATGCAAATCATGCCTGTTTATAATTTTTGTAATTAAAAAAGATGTAATTTTTTTAAACAGACATATTAACAAAAATATTTTTTGTAACTTCATTAATCAATAGAGAATATTGGAACCTATATTATAACATAACAAATTTATATTTTGAAAATTTCTGGTGTTTTTTTTTTTATGTAAGGGAAAACATTTCCTCTCTCAATTAACTACATTACTTTAAATCATAAAAAACAAAAACATGTTTACAACATGAATGAGAGACAATTAAGAAAAAATTTTCTATTTGTCTGTTTAGTAAAACATTTTTATATGTTTTAAATTGGTTTAATGAAATTAAACACTAATGGATGAACTTTTTTTTTTTATAAAAAATTTAAAATCTTATTATATCCATAACTAATTTGAAATGTAAAAACTATATCACACTCAATTTACACTAAGTACAAAACACATAATTTTAAGTATTTTTTTTTTTTACTTTGCTAAATTACATTTATAGTATATTAAGATTAAAATTGATTGCCTTATTCAATTATCTAAATTTAAATTTTATTTTTTAATTACATTATTAAAAATTTTACTTTTAAATCAAACAATATTCACATAAACAAATAATATCAATTCTAATATTTAACTGAATTTTAAAATGTGTTAATATAACTAGAAAAGCTACTAAAAATTTTTTTTCTCTTATATTTTTGGTATAATATTTAATTCCACACATTATTTCAATACTATATTGTTCGATATATATTATTATAAATCCGTATTATATTATTATAAATAATATTGAAAAAATTTAGATAATTCTATTGTATTTTTTTAAAATGGCAAACTGTATTCAATAATTTTTTTCAAAAAAGCATAATTCTTTTTCAAGATGGCGGCTCGATATAACGATAAATTATAAATTGATAATCTTTTTTTTTTTATATAAATGAACTTTAAAAATCATTTTATTTAATGATATATCATATACATACACTACCGTTCATTATTTTTTTAAGTAATTAAAGTGATAATTTAAATTTGAGTAAATTTTTACTTACATTTTGTAAATTCCTTTTACCTCTCATTTAATTATCATTAAACACATTTTCATTTACAAAAAAAAAATTTTTTACTAATTTCTTAATAGAAAATATTATTGTGTGTACATTTTGTTACTATTTACGACGAGTTATAAAAGTTTTGAAATTTGTTATTTTATAAAAAATTCACTTTAAAAACTATTTTAAAAAAATTAAAAACGAACACGATTTTTATTAAAACATGAATAAGAACCCGTGTAAAATTTTAAACTGAAAAAAAAACCGTTACATAGAATAAAAAACAAAAGCGTTACCGTTTCGTTTTTAATTGATGATGACTCGGCAGTTTTTTATCTTTAAAAGTAAGCGGTGAGTTTTTTCTTCTCTTTCTTTTTTTTTGCATTTTTGCATATATTTAAGAATTTATTTGATAAGTTACATTTCTTTGAAATATTATATTAAAGTTATTCTTTTTTTAAAAAAAAAGCAAAAAATTATCATTTGTTTAATCGTTTTTAAAAAAGTAGGATTACATTCGACAATTTTTTTTTCTTTCTTTTTTTATTAGCATCATGAGTTTTAGTTATAAAAGCGTTTTTAAAACGCTTGGTGTGTACAAAAAAAAAAAATTTTATTATTTTTTTTTTTCAGTTTTGTTTAGTTTCTCCGCGTTTTAATAATATGTATAAAATAAAAAAATTTATTAGAATTATTAATTTAAAAACGAAAAACAAATTTTCACACACATTTTTTACTTTTTTTGTTATTATTAACAGAAAATCATTTCAACGGTTTTTTTTTCGTTCGAATAGAAAATTTGAAATTCAAACTCAAATCGCCCTGAAATGATAATGCTGATTTCGATATATATATATACATTTTCCTTTATCTCATTTGCATTATTTTTTTTTTTCCAGGGCATTATTTATTCGTCGAAATGGCAGAAGGAGCTGAAGAAATTCACGTATGGAGCCCAAAATTTTCACAAACAAAACCTCAATGTAAACTACATGTAGATTTAAAAATGGTTAACATGACTGCTGGAAATTTTAAAGTTGTTATTGAAACAACAAACGATACATCATGGGTTGTCGATGAAAAAATGGGAAACAATAGAAATAAGTAAATTTACCTTCATTTTTTGGAATTATTAAGAATTTTTAAATTGGAATATAAAAAAAAATTTTTTTACAGATGGGAAAAATTTATATTTATAATTAGTCGTATACAACAACGTTTTAAAATAATACTTGAAGTATCGCCGAGTAAAACAAATCCTTCCCAATTATCAATGGACAATATTAAGCTTGTAGACTGTTTCCCAGGTTCGTTACATATATATGTACAAATTGATAATCAAATAATCAACTTATTTTATTTATAAGGATATATACTACAACAATTGTTAAACAAAGTCAAAGTCAATATTTCAAAGATTGTTAAAAATCAAATTTGTGGCATCCATTTTGAAATTTATTTTATTTTTAAAAAAACTGTTTTTTTTTCTTTTTTTCTTTTTCCTCATGGGAATTTCTTATATATTTATAGAGAGACCAACATTTAAAACATGCTCAAACGATTTTTTTCGTTGTTCAAAAGACGCCAACGATTTTTGCATAAATAAAACACAAATTTGTGACATTGAACAAGACTGTTTAAATGGTGAAGATGAAAAACAAGGTTGTGGTGAGTAGTGATTTTTTTTTTTTATTTTCTTTTAGAATTTTTTTTACCAATTAAATTAATTATTAGTTGAGAAAATTTGAATTGATTTTAAACAAAAACAATTTGATAAAGGGAATGGCAAATCCCTAGTAGGTTAGGTAGTTTATTAGATTTATTATTTACACTACTTGGTCTTTTACAAAAAAAGAAAAGTTTTTAGGTAAATAATAAATTTTCTTTCAAAAATCTATTATTATAAAAAAAAAACTTTTGACAAGAATTCTCAAAGGTTTATCTTAAAAGTTGATTTTTCCAAATAATTTAAAATCATTTTTTTCAACTTTAAACTTTTTATTAAAAAGTAATAATGAAAACCAATGAAAGGCCGCCATATTTTCTTTTGTTATTATAACTTTTCTTTTCTTTTTTTTTTCTTATTATTAAAAAAAAAACTTCATAATACAAATCACAAAGTAGTTTTTATTTAATTGAGATCTGTTTTAAATCCTTAAAAATTTTTAGGTTTTTTCTTCCCAACCAAGACAAATAAATAAATTTCAAAAAGAGAAAAATTATATTGTTTGAATATTTCAAAAAAATTTTCAACTGGAAAAAAAAAAAATTCATAATTTTTGTTTTAATGAAAAACGTGATAAAATTTAAAACAAGAAAAAAATAAATAAATTTTTTTTTTCTTTTTCTCTCTTCTATTGATTTACATTATTCTAAATATTTATATTATTTAAATAATAATAATATTTATAAAATTTGACATGTTTTTTAAATTTTTTTTAATTTATTTCAGATAAAAAAAATTTTTCATCGGTTACAAAAAGAGAAAACATTGAAATTATATTCCCTTTCCTCAAAACCTGTGATTAATAATAATTTTTTCCTTTTTTTTTTTTTTTTTTTTCAAATTTTCCTGGGACTACAACAAATAGCTATCATTAAGGAAAATTTTCAAAATATGTAAATAAATTAATATGAGAGAGAGAGAGAGAGAGATAGAGAGTAAGGGAGCAATTTCTTTATTTCCATTGAATTAAATTTACTACGTAGGCGGTTGTTTTTCTCCATTGTCAAAAAGTTATTTATTTTTAATAATTTTTCCTAACAAATAATGATTTTTAGATCCTATTACCTTGGGTTTTATGTATTACTCCTCTTCTCTTGAGACAAACCTTCCGTTTCAGAAAACAAACAACAAACATTCTCAACAACAACAAATTCCCTTTCGCTCATTCATTCATAATAATAACCATCCTTTAAAATATATATTTATAAAATTTATTTTTATTAAAAATAAATTATTAATGGTTAACCTAACAAGATTTAACATTAAATGTTTGTGTTACAATTTTTGTAATAATAAATGGGGGGTTTTTCCAGAGGAAATTCCTAAATTTGCAAGATGTACGTTTGAAGATGGATGGTGCGGTTGGGAAAATGCACCAACGACTGCCATCAATTGGACCAGGCACATGGGAGCGGGATATACCAAAAGATATACAGGACCTGCATTCGATCACACTTATCAAAATGAATCAGGTTGATAATTTTTTAAATTATTAATAATTTAAAGAAAAAAATTTAATATGAAGAAATATTAAAACTTGATTTTTTAATTTGGCAGGAAAGTTTTTGTACGTTAACATGTCAACAATCAGAAGCACAAAATTAGGATCTTCTGCAATTTTAGAAAGTTCTCTTATAAATCCACCTCCGAGATATCACACCAGACCCAACAGCACATATTACAAATCATGTTTTGTAAGTTTAAATGAAATTTTATGATCTAATCCTAAAAAAAAACCACACAAAATAATATTTTATTAATATTTATAAAAGACCTTTTTATTTTTTTTTATTTTCTATAAATAAATCTATGATGGCTCAAGGAAATGAATGAATATTAACTACCGATATGACAAGCCAACTAACTAAATATAATTTTTATAAATTTAGCTTTTTTTTTTAAAAAAATAAAAACCCTTTAAAACAATTTTAAAATTTAATTATTTATAATTTCAAATCAGGTACGATTTTTTTATCATCAGTATGGAACGCATACAGGTTCGTTAGGTTTATTTTTATGCGAAATGGATCCTGCAGCTGAAAGATCTATAAGATTGTGGTTTACTTATGGGAATAAG